ATAATAATATATATATAATATTATATGTGTATATAATAATAATATTATAAATTATATTATATAATAATATTATATATATATATTATATGTGTATATAATAATATATTATAAATTATATTATATAATAATAATAATATTATATATATTATAATAATTATATTAATAAAATATTTTAATTATATTAATTATTATAATATAATATATATATGTGTATATATATTTTCCTTTTTGTTAAATATTTTGTTCTTTCAATTTTCTTTTTTTCATTTCTTTTATTTTGAATCATCTATCCCCACATTAGGAATGTTTTCTCGTTGATATACCAACAAAAAAAAATAATCAGAAACGAACAATAATAAAATATAATGATCAATAAATATAAATATACAAACATACATACACACCAATCTTCTGACACATGAACGAGTCCAGTGTTGTTAAGAATATGAAAAAAAAAGTATGATGAATATGATATGAAAAAAAGAATAAAAAAAAGTAAAGGGTTAGGGATGACAGGAAGGGAAAATAGATTGAGAGAGAGAGAGAGAGAGAGAGAGAGAGAGAGAGAAAGATAGGTATAATAGAATCATCAACAAGGTATTCTCTTCACATAGTCATCGTCATCATCAAAGATCCAACACTTGACCCTTCCTAAAACGATCGATAATTCATACACAAGGTTCAGTATACCTTTTGTATAGCATTCGAGGTGACAGCATTCTGTTAGGGGTTCTATGTTCAATGTTCAAACTCTACATCTATCTCTCTTTATCTTTATAGAGAGAGTATGGTTAATTGATTTCATCAGGATGGGAAACGCTTTAAAGCTGAAGTTCTATGAAGTTCTATGATGGATAGAACAGATTTTACCATTAGAAATGGCTCTGTCCTAATACGATCTCAATTTTAGTCAATTCAAATTAGATAATAAAACGTTTCTTCAATTCTAATGAAATTGTTACACATCAATTTGTGATTTTATTAAGATAATATTATTATTTAAAAATAAAAATAAAAATACAAAATGAGAGAAAATTATTGAAATAATTTGTATCGTGTGTGTGTGTTTGTGTATTGATATTGGTAATTGCAATGATTACAATTTTCTAATATAACTTTTAAACAAAAGGATTATTATTATTTAAAATTTATTTACAATAAGGAACAAAAGACGATGATATATTATATATTAATATATAATTATAAATATAATAATATATATTATCTCGAGATTATATTATTTCAAGATGGTGTCATTAATTTTATTACGAAAAGATATAAAAAAAAGAAAATTATAAATATATATTTTGATAAATAATTTAATAAATACCACGAACAATTATGATATAAATATTTTCAAATTTTACACGTGTATATAAAACACACACTTTGTAACACTGTTAGAAATTTACCATGAAAAAAGTTCCACCTACAAAAGTTTCCTTCACAAGCTCAAGAAATTCTTCAAATTTTCAGGATTATTCAGGAAAGCATTAACAAAGTTTAATATTCAGGATAGTTTGTGTGGTTATCCTGATTATCCTGAAGGCATCGTTAATCGAATAACTATTATAAGATCTTAACACGTTTCTATCGTATCACAACTTTCATCAAATTAATTAAAAGCGTTTCAATTATCTAATAATTAATTGATCCTCTCTATCTCTATTAATATACAAGTGTAGAATATAATACAACACACAAACGTATACACACACACACATATATATATATATATATATATATAT